TATTCTATGTGGCTGGGGGTGGACCTCTTGCGTCTTATCGCTGTGTATTTACTCATATGACCATCTCCAGTGGCCTAGTTAGCGGAGCGTCTTGCATACGGTATTACGCATGAATGCTGATTATCGCATTCTTAACCTAATTGCGTGTCCATGTGTTGTCATCTTTGCTCTTTCACTGCAAAACACCTTTCGCAAGTCTCCAGGCACCTAGGTAATGACTTAAATTTTCAATCCCAAATTTGATCCTCAACATATGATTTGAAGGAATTACTCAGATATCGCCAAAAAAAGAGTGTGTGTGTGTGTGTGTGTGTGCAGTTGTTCGTATTTCTACAGGAAAATATGGTTAGGATACAAGGAAACAATTTTTTGGGGGTAGCTGATACTTTGGTCAAGACCTGAACTGGTACCTCCCAAGTTAAAAGCAATATAAATTTAAGTAACCTGCTGATTAAATTGTAATATTGCATAAAAATTAGCAGCAGAAAATTTTATTTTCGTAATAAATCCAGTCATACATTTATGTACTGGTTAATGCCAATTAGAGAAATAATTGTTGCTTATTCTTAGAAGCATAATAAGCACATGAATATTCTATGCAGACAGTATGAAGAATTTCTTAATATTAAAGCCGGTGCCGTGGGTGTACATACAGTGACCACTGTGAATTGAAAGATTAAACCTTAATTTGGATACATTTTACTTTCATTTTTCATTAGCATGTGATAAAAGACATACAAAAAATAATAAAGAATAATCGGCCGAAAAATTGCGAAGCATGCGTTTGGAAACTTAATATAATCCTAATTGGAATATGTTTTCCTTTTTAATTATTTTATAGTTATACAACGTTCCCCTAAGAAATCTGTTCTGACAGCAAAATATGAATGCCAGACGCAAGACAACGTCAACATTCCAGCATCGGCTGGTCCCACCAGAAGACATTGAGCACAGTAACAGAATTTATAAGATGAATCTCTTCTGTATCCTGACATTTCCATAGTAGGTCCCCAATTTTTACGCTTCGCTTCGCCTCGCCCTTTCATACGATCGAAAATAGTAGTCCGGCATACAGTGGTTATGAGGGCTTCAGAGATTTCTTATTCGTGTCAGACGCGGAAGGAGGTTAACAGATGCTTCATTACCCTCATGAAAAGGGTAAATCTTCCTTCGGGGGAGAGGGTTAAATAAATTTAGAAGCCACTCATAATATATAAGCTTCATAATATGTTTCTAAAATCTCCTCACGTCCTAGAGGTTAGATGCCATCTGTCCCATCACGAAAATATGTAATGTGACGTGGAGGATGGGTAACATTCCTTCACGCCTCCACTACCGCATTTCATTGTTCTGTTCCGCTGGGAATTTTGGTGAGTGGATGTTAGTGTTGTAGAATACAAACTAAACCCATTTTATTGCCTTCTTTCCTCACGATATGATTCGACTCTTGTAGAGAAAGGCTACCACCAGATGGATCCTGTGTTACTTCTTAGCGTCTTTATTCATTGAGCCTAAGTTACACCTGTAACTGTCTCATTGGTTTCAGCTGGCACGAATTACGTGGAGCAACTCTGTTATCTCCACAGGATTTGAATCTGACATAGAAGTCCACGGTCTTTCGCGATAATTTATATAACAAAGATAAGGGAAGGTGAAATTTTTCTTGTGCTTAATTAATTAAGATGTTAGGGGAGTGCAGGTTAGTTCCACCATTCTTACAGCCGATCTAGCCGCTACAAAGAAAGGAAAACCTCATGTCCCTCCTCAAAATCGAACCCCAACTCTTGACTGTCTAACCCCTAGTCCCCTCGCTATACGGACAGAGCTATCCCGGAACCCAATTTATAACAAATTTTATTTCTATCCTTAGCTGGTGATGCTG